GAAACGAGAGTTTGGGCCGCTTTATTTGTATTGTATTTATGCCTTGGATTGTATTTGGGTTAGTGGTCCACCTATATATGGACCAGGGTCTACAATAGACCTATTGATTGCTCACCCTGCACACCCTAAGGGTCGGGCCTGCCTTTTTATGGGTCGATATTAAGGTGGAAAAAAACCCAACAAAGCCCACAAAGGTAGTGATGAGTAATTCCGATTCACTACACCCCCCTTTAGCCATTAATACCTACCCCCCCCCCCCCCCTGAAATTTCCGTAAAACCCTTACCCCCACTAACCACACCCCACTAACCGCACTAGTTAGAACTTGCAGTTAATTCTCCATTTCTCTTCAACACCATATTCTCTCTCTTCAAATACTCAAAATCGCTACAATTCAAGGAAAAAAAAATCTTCAAAATTACTGCAAATTGCATCAAAACATCTAAAAATGTCTGACATTCGAGATGAAGTTCGTCAATCGCAACTAAATTCCGAAAAAGAAGAGTAAGAATTTGTTCATTTAAGTAGAATTTTGAATGTAAACCCTAGATTTTATATATATATATATATATTGCGTTTTAATCTTCTAAAACAAACTCTACTATAATTACACTTGTTTTTGTGCAAAATAGACTAAAATCTACTATATTTGGTGGTATTTTTAATTAGTAAAAACGAAACAGAGAAGAACACTTCAAAGGTTCCGTCGGAGAAGACGATTGCTGAACAAATGTTCATTTTCAGTAAATGTTCATTTTCAATTTGATAGATGTTCATTATGATACTAGTATATGATCATTTACATTCTTACCTTACATCTACTAGGGTTCATTCTTGAGAGAATATTACTCTAATTTTGTTTATGATCTTTACATATTAATGAATGTTTACTGGCATTTAAACATATGTTTATTTGAATGTAATTACGTACATTTTCATTCTCATATTGAAAATATCCACATAAATTATAATAATACATGTTTAACTTCATATTAAATTATATGATCATGAGAATCATTTGAATGTTATACTACATACATTTTCGCTCTAATATTGATAGATGCTTATTCGAATTTGATACATAAATGTTCATTTGGATATGTGTATATTATTCACACATATGTTAATGTATGTTCATTCACATGTCTAAAAATGTTCAAAAATAAATTACATATTGCTCATTCATCATAAACCTTTGATGATTCTATTTTAAAATATGATTCTATTTTAAAATATGTTCAAAAATAAATCACATATTGTCACTTACATTATTTGTGATATATATATATGCTCATGTTATTTGTGATAATTTGTTCATTTATATAAAATAGAATGTACATTTTTGTTTTGCCAATTCAACATTTATTAAATTTGTAATATCAATATAATGTTTATGCATATATATTGATTTACAAACACAATATATATTGTAGTTATGTTCTATATAGAGTGAAACACACGTTGCAATAATTTAGAGATGGAAACTATGAGCCTATATTTATAAGGAGATAATGTCATCAGTTATATTGAAAGATAAAAATGAACAACATAGTAATATGTAGGAATCATATTTTGATAAAAGCATGTTGAACCACAAGTAAGTTAATTTGACATATAGCATAATATTCATTTTCATAACAATGAATACACAGATTGACATTGTAATTTGTTTGACTTACAGATACACCAAATCAAGAAGCTGAGAATACAATACATTGCTCAACTGATGCTATTTGGATTAAATAGAAGCTAGAGGCAATAGAAAAGGAGCAAGAAGATTTATGGAAGCTTATATTACTACAAATATTATTCTTTCGGTTATTTGATCATTTATGGATTTCTAAATGATCAAGTACATTAATTTTCATATATTTTTTTAATTCATTAGTACTTGTTATATACATATACATATATATATCAAGAAGTTATAACGAAATACAATAAAATGTTCATTATCAAGAAGTTATATGTTCAATTACGTAACAGTTATAACGAAATACAATAAAATGTTCGTAACCAAAAAGGCAAATGTTCAGTGTCAAAACAAAACATGTTCAGTTACATATCACTTATCAGAAAAAAAAAATTAAGCTGGAACAAATATATGTTGTTTCAATCCAAATTCTTACTTATTATTATATTATTTGTCAACCTATTCGCTACATTAGTGTAAAAAAGAAAAAACGAACAACCTATCATACTTAGAAGAAATATGTTGATTAGCTACCACGTTGAACACTTTGAACATCTCTTGGAACACTTGGAGGAACTTGAAAATTTCTTGGAACACTTGTACATAATTGAACCTTTTTTTCTTGGAACACTTAAAGAAACTTGGACATCACTTGGAGCACTTGAAGGAACTTGGCCTTTTCTTGGAGCACGCACTTGGACAATGCTAAATTCTTTCTTAAAAGCATATTCATTGTACCTGCCATAAATTTCTTATTCAGAATTAAAATATGTAAAAAGTAACTCTGATTTAGTTGCTTCTTCATACAAAATTTCATCACTAGCACCCACTGCATAAGTTTTAAAAATGAACATAATCAATGACATATATGTACAAATACAAAACAGTACATATAAATGATCATTTAGCATTATCAATTTGATCAAAATAATAAAATAAAATAAAGTACTAAATATTTAAAACATAATTAAAACATCTATAACAGAACATTAGTTTGAATCATATTGATCATTTAAAATTATGAAATTGATCAAAATTGTAAAACTACTAAAAAAAACACGAAAACTTATATAAAAAATATAATTAATCACATAAAACAAATCATAATCAGCAATCATTAAACTAAAAACAGCAAACAAACTTGAATCATAAATCATACTAATCGAAATAAGAGACAAAATTTATTAAAATAAAACTTCAGTTCGCTTGAATTATAACACCAAACCAAATTGAACTAAAACAGAGGCTAACTTGATTACAAAAACTTGAAAAATCGAATAAAATCAGCAAATAATTTAAAACAAAACAGCTAACAAAATTGAATCAAACAATTGACCAGCAAGCATTAATCGAAATCAGAGACAAAATTGATCAAATTGAACAACTCCAATCAGAGACAAAATAACTTCACAATCACGATCAAATTCGACAATCGAAGAATGTAGCACTTCATTATCACAATCAACAGCTCCAATCAATGATTCATCCATAAATAAGAGGAAAAAGAGTGATTGAAAGAGAAATAATGTTGAAGAAGAGAGAGAAAATGCAAAAAAAAAAAACGAAAAACAGAAAAATAGGTTTTGAATCATATATATAAATGACTTGAGAGATAAGATAAGGAAAAAAAAAAGCTAGAAAAACATAAACAGGTAAAACGATGTAGTATAATTAGGGGGAGTAGGCAGCATTGGCTAAAAGGGGTTGTAGGTAAAAATTTTCAAGTGATGAGCTAATGGCTATGACCCAATTTAGTAGTCCAAGATTGGGTTGGGCTTTAATCAAGAGTTAAGGGATTGGATTAGCAATCAATTTATAAATCAATCTCATGTGTTCAATTTAATTAGAACAGTGAATTCTTGATTGCATGGAACTAGTAAGGAACTCTGAACACTTTATTTTGCAGGTGAACTTTAATGGAAGCTTGTTTCTAATTTACTCTATATCTTAATACGTACAACATTTACATATTTTTACTTTGATTTTATCATTATTGCATAAATTTTACTACTTTGTCGTATTCTCAATAAGAAGGTACTAATAAAGAAGCTGATAACTTGAAATTTTAATTTGAGGCAGATAATAACAAGATCTCGCACAACTATATTTTGCGTTAAATTTATTTCACCATACATACATAATCAAAGTGAGGTATATATGTAATATGTGAAATTTTCAAAATATTGAGATAAGGAAGAACTATATTTTTATATATTGCATATATATACTTCATGCAAATTATATACTCCATATTATCCATGATATGAGACCATCATAGTTAATGTTACCTATGTCTCAAATTACAATCCTTAATAAAATGTTTAGTCCCAACAAACCTGAACTAAAACTTAAGCCACAACATATTACATTTACAGTTTAGACAAATTCAAAGCTAATAGCGTGTACACAAATGTTTACACATCATCAAATATGTATGATATGCCATTACATGCACAAAACATCTTCCATGCACGAATTGCCAAGTGCCTACTTCACAATTCATAAAGATGGTATGATTTATTACTAACAATATAATTAAGTAGCATTCAAAATTTTTGGTTAGAAAAATGCTTGGCCTATTAATTACTTGTACAAAACATATGCAATTACCTTCAAATTCTGATTTCAATAGATCACTAAACAATTGTATTTTCAAACGATGATTATTAAACTCGAAATTAAAATGTCACCTAAACAAAGACCGGGTAAACTTCATTAAGTAAGTACTAATGATAATGTTGACGAATCAAAAGAAGAAGGCGTCGACTACGTCGTTGGAGAACTGGATTTTCTTTTCTATCATGCAACGTCGTTTCACCTCTTTCAATAGAAGGTGAAACAACGTCGTCCTCTTCAAGACCATCCAATAAATCTGAATCTTCGGGGGTAAATTTGACTACAGAGTTAATTTTACCTTTCTCTCTACTCTTAGCTAAAACCACTTTATATTTATCATACATCTTTCGATATCTCGCGTTGACTTTCCTAATAATTAAAGTTTTCATCTCGTCTCTTAACTTTGTATCTTGTACAACCCATTCCACCTGCTTACGATACTCCTCCTCAAAGTCAACGTTAAATCACTTAAAACATTCTTTGACTTTATCAAGAGAAATCTCCACCGTTAGATCTTTTGGTAATGAAGATATCACTCTACCCCACCCCATCCTTTCCTAGTTTGCAGCATATTGTACCACTTTAGAGGAATTTTTGTTTACCCATTTTTCCCCTAACACGTTATATAGTTTGGTAGAATTTACTTTTGTTACAACATATTGAAGATTATTTGCTAAGAAAAGGTATGAAAGTTATGCATCTTTGTAAAGCTCTGATTTACTATCTAGCTTACCTAGTAATATCAATATTAACCAGGAAAAATGTAATTCCACAGGAGACGACATTGTTTCACCTTCAAAACAACTCTTTGGTAACGACAATTGTAAGCTTATTGGATAATCTGTGAGGATTTTGTCAAATGCAGAGGCGTGATTAGAAAGATTGACCATGTAGTTCATTTCATATTTGGTTAGGGGTTGGATCCCTCCTCCAGCGACTACACCCTTTGAGGAGTCTTTATACACATGTGCCTCAAAATCTGCTTCCATTGATTTCACGGCTTCAGTTACTCGTCCCATAGAGGACCTTAGATGTGAACGAACAGGTGAGGTGAACTTTGATGAGAAGATCTTTTCGATTTCCAAGGTATCCTCTATCATCCCCTCGTAGAGGGTTAGGAACTTGAAGATTTTATCCGGGGTTTTTTTAGCGTGTTTTGCAAGTTTTCCAGGGATTCGAAATAAAATTAGGGCAGACTCTTTAAAAACATCCGAAAACATGATTTCGTAACGGATGGCAAGGTACATGCAGAAAAAAAATGTTCACAAAGATTCTTCTCAAGGGAAAATATCTTCACACAAACTTTTATAGAATTCAACCATTTAGTCATTTTAGCATCAATATGTCTCCTAATCTAATTTCTGAACTTGTGATTTCTTCAACTTACGTGCACCTAGCTTAAGTAGGGCATCCTCGACGAAAGACCGCCTCATAAGCTTATATATCTTAAGACATTTCTTCCCAAACCGGGCACTCATCATGCGATCCGCTATCAACTTAAGGTTGGCCATAGTAGATGCCTCCTCCGTGGTTGAGTCTTCATGATAATTATTATTTGACCTTATTTTTTTCGTGCTAGAAGTAATCTTGTAGAAATAATATTATATTATATACGTGTAAAAAAATATGAAGTAATAGTTTTAGACTTTTAGCTCATTAATTAGGAAAGAGTGCTAGAAATAATCTTGTAGATCCGTAAAAAAAAAATCTTGTCGAAATGCGTGGACCGAGCGAGGATTTAGCTATCTATCATATTCACATGGTCCCTTGTTTAGTACTCTATATCACTAATTGTAGTCTAATAATTATTGGCTAATCTTCATTATTGCTACCCATTTTCTAACTAGAAAAACGTATTAGGCTAATCAATACAATTATTAATCAGTAATAACTAATAAGTTGGTGTCACTGTCTTCAGATCTAGACATATGCTAGCCATTTTGATGGCCTTTTGCCAAAATAATAAAATCTAGGAATCATATTATCGGCAAGCAACACATCTTAATTCTTAAAGTGTGAAGAATTATTAATTAGCTGAACATGTTATTTGATAGCTCAACTAATTAAATTAGATTTATAATTTTTGTACAAACAAAGTCAATATGTACTTTTCTATACCACGCAATTAATACTCAATGAGATATCTACACTCAATAAGCTGCCAAAATAAAATTCAATAATAAGGGAAAATAAGGAGGAAAGAAAAAAAAATCTAAATCATACTTGATTAGGGGATTTTTCCCCACCAATCACCATCTGACAAGTGGACCAATCAGGTTCCGCCATGTGTCCGTCACATGGGCCAATAGGAGCCTGCCACGTGTCAAGCAATGATCCGTCCACTATGGACCAATTACGACACGACACGTGTCCTTCCCATGACACTTGGGATAACCGGTCACCTAGGCCCAACTTCCGAGGGAAGCCCAATCAGCCCAAGGTTAACCTAAACCTAGATTGACACGTTTCCCGAGGTTATTAATACCTCCCTTAATCCTCATTAAGGGAGATTACACTAAAAACGCAGATTACACACATTAAACACTCTCACCTAGAGAGACCCAATCACTTTAATTTCCGCATTAATTACTCCTTAATCAAGTACTAACTTGACCGTCGGAGGCGGATCTCCAATCATCCGGAGCATCCGTTTGTTTTGCAGGTACAGGTGTCCGGTTCCAGTCTCGGAATTGTAACTCTCCCGCAGGACATCAGAAAACCCCGAAACATCTTGGCGCCGTCTGTGGGGAGAGTACTTCTGAGATGGCATCCACGTTTGTACCGGCTCCTGAAGAGAGACGTCCCTGGACGACCCCCTAGTTCAGTCGGACCGCGATACTGAGAATGAATTTGAAGTTGAAGCTCACACAGCTTCAGACGGGACCCTAAGGGCCCGACGTGCCCGTCATACCGAAAGGAGGGAACGGAAACATCTTCAAACTGGAAGCGAGCCAGCAGGCGCACCGCCTGTTCGGCAGCAGCCGAGTGATGGGTCTGCTCCCATCACAAGGAACGAACTCATGACCTTCATGAGGGACTTCAAGGGAGAAATTCAAGAGTTGATCAACAAGAAGTCGCCTGCTCTGGACAAGGAGCAGTCGGCTAAGAAACCCTCCACTTCACGGAAGAGGAAACCAGTTCAAGGGCGAGAGTCGACCCCTCATCCTAAATCTAGGAAGTGGGAGCCACCTGCCCTTGATTTCACAAAATACCGTTTTCCTATTCCAGGAAATAGGAAACCTGTTCGTCATATTCAGGCGGACGGGTCGAGGAAAACATACACAGACGCTCGGCTACTACTAGAGCAGAAGAAGAGTGACCGATTGTCAGAGTCGGCCTCTACTTCAAACTTCCAAGACAGTCTGCGAAATACCTCGATGAGGCATACTCAGTCGTATCATGAGAGTCAGTCAGGCGGCACCTCCCGTCAGTCCGGCTTTCATAGCGACCAGGCGGTACCAAACTTACCGTTTGTACCGCAACAACAGTATTTTTTACAGCCACCTCCGTTTGGTGGACATGCAGCAAAAAATGTCCAACCTATGGACTGGCAGCTACGGTTGCTTAGACTTGGTGAACAGCCGTCGACCTTCTCCAAGGAAATTACTGAAGCCGCTCAGCCGGCCAAAGTGAAAAATGTATTAGTAGGCGCCTATGACGGCACTACTAACCCAGAAGACCATCTGATGGAATTCACCAACCTGATGTACCTTCAAGGGTTGGATGATCCCACTTGGTGCAAGTGTTTCCCAGCGACTCTCAAAGGAATCGCACAACAATGGTTCGGCAACCTGCCGACTGGTTGTGTAAATAACTTCAAGACGCTTGCTTACTTATTCACCTCCAACTTCGCCATGAACATCCCTGCGAAGAAGACGACCCTTGATTTAGGAACAATTCAGCAGGGCGAGAAGGAGGGGCTTCGTTCTTACATCAGGCGGTTTAACCTGATGAGAATACAGATTCAAGGGTTACCGGATGAAGTAGCCTATACTGACTTTTTCAGAGGTCTCAAAGACGGGTCGACCTTCAAATTTGATTTGGTCCGAAAGAGGGTGGCGACTCTTCAAGAGGCCTTGATTGAAGCGGAAGCCTATATACAGGCGACTGATCTTTGTAGTTCGGTAAAACAGTCAGACGGGAAAAGGTCCGACAAAAGAGAAGGACGACAGAAGCAGTCGTCAAACAAAGACGGGAAGGGAAAAGAGGTATGGGCAACTGATTCCTCTAAACAGCCGTCCCAGAAGAAGAAAAAAGAATTCAAACCATACTCCCCAAAGTATGTGTTTAACAAGGATAGCCAATTTATCCTAAAGGAAATCAAGGGACGGATCTCAATTGAGAAGACGGTCCCCATGAAGGGTTCTGCAAACAATCGGAACCAAGAAAAATTCTGTGATTATCATGAAGATGTTGGTCATCACACCAATGAATGCATCAGTCTCATGCGGTATCTGGACCACCTGGCTGAGCAAGGTGATCTTGACACTTATGTCAAGAAATCTACGGGGAACACTTCCTCAAAAAAGTAGTCGACCAAAAAGAATCAACAGGCCGACAGCTCCGATATAGATGATGCAGTCGTCTACACCATTGCAGGCGACTTCTCAGGAGGCGGCCCCACTATTAGGGGCAACAAAGACAATATCAGACGGTTAGATGTAAATTCCGTTCACCAAGAACGGCCCTCCAAATATTCATTTCCTGAGATTGTCATCACTGAAGAAGATCTAGGAGGGGTAAGAGGGCCGCATGAAGACCCTATCGTTATTGAATGTAAAGTGGCCAACCAGAGAGTTGGTCGAATCCTCATAGATACCGGAAGCTCCTCAGATCTCATCAGTAGCAAATGTCTGTCGAAACTAAAATATCAGACTGATTGCATACATCCGGCATCCCACCCTTTAGTAGGGTTTGGAGGAGGAGTCTTCCACCCAGTGGGACGAGTGGATTTACCCATCCGCCTGGGCGAAAAAGGGGAAGGACGACACATGGTAGTCCGGTTCCTGGTAGTAGAAGAACTCTCGGCCTACAACATGATTCTGGGACGACCAACCCTGAATAATTCCAAGGCTGTTATAATCCCATCTCTTATGTTGCTCAAGTTTGAGAGGGATAATGGAACAGTCGGGTCCCTAAGGGGAGATCAGAGGATGGCCCGAGAGTGCTATCTCTCGGATGTCAAGCCCACTGTTATGGCCACTGGGTCGAGTGGTGGAAAAATAGACCTTGACAATGTCACGGAGAGTGCGCTTGTTCAAGAAGAAGGCGGCAAGAAGAGAAAGGCATCCCAGACAGGGGCCGCAAGAAAAGACAGAAAATAGCAATCATTGGCAGAGGAGCGGTCGGATGAATTCCGCCCTCAGCCAGCTGGTGAGCATACAGACCTGATCTTAGATGACTCGCGTCCTGACAGAACAATCAAGGTTGGGACGACTGCTCTAAGGGACCTTGGTGACGACTTGCACAAACTATTGTAAGAATACAAGGACATCTTTGCATTCGAAGTCCATGAAATGCCAGGCATTAGTCCTGATCTGGCGGTACATAAACTGGTCGTGGATCCGAAAAAGAAGCCGGTACGGCAGAAGAAGCGGAACCATGGCGAAGAAAGAAGTCAGGCGGCAGCCGCCGAAGTTAAAAAATTACTTGATGCAGGGTTCATTCGGCAATGTTACTTCCCAGACTGGGTTGCAAATGTGGTGCTTGTTAAAAAGTCGAATGGCACCTGGCGAATGTGTGTAGACTACACAGACTTAAACAAGGCGTGCCCCAAAGACAGTTACCCTCTGCCTAAAATTGATAACCTGGTCGACTCAACAGCCGGCCATGCTTTGATGAGCTTTATGGACGCCTACTCTGGTTTCCATAAAATTCCTTTATGGAAGAAAGATTAGGAGAAGACGGCCTTCGTCACTGATCAGGGGTTATACTGTTACACGGTCATGCCGTTTGGTCTTAAGAATGCCCCGGCCACTTTCCAGCGAATGATAAACACTGTGTTCTTTGATCAAATTGGGAGAAATGTCGAGGCATATATTGATGATATGATTGTCAAGTCTAAACTTCAGAAAGATCATCTGTCGGACCTCCGAGAAACTTTCGCCACACTCAGGTAGCACCATGTCATGCTCAATCCCAAGAAATGTGTCTTTGGAGTTGAGTCTGGGAAATTTCTCGGATTCCTTATCAATCAGAGAGGAATAGAGGCGAACCCTGA